GAGAGATTTGTTTTGTTTTGGTTGAGTGATTGCTGAAGCGAACTAGACAAAAGAGAGAGAGAGAGTGTGTGTGTGCAAGAAAGTCTTCTCTTTCACACCTTTCGTTTTCTCGAACCTCTTTAAAGATGATGGTGGAGGAATCTTGGGTTTGACAACTCATTAGCCAATCCCTCTTTTCACCTCTCGCAGCATCCAAGGAACCTCTGTTTGCTTTTTATTAGTCTTTGCTTCATCATCATTCTCTCCAAATTTTCCTCCTTTTTTCTTCTTCTCTCTTTCATGCTGCTGATTTTTACCCATTTTTACAAGCCTTGATCTTCTCATGAGAAATTAAGAGCTTTCTTTTGATGGGATTGTGCAAAAATGGAAATTTGACAATTTGGGTCTTTCCCATTTTTGCTCTGAGGATAGAGATTAGTGGTTTGTTTCTGTAAGTTTTCCTTGTGTTTTGAGTCTTGAAAAGAGTAGAAAATTAGGGTTCTTAGTTTTAAAGTTGTTAATTTAGGGTTGGTTTAAGATATGGAGGAGATAGAAGGAAGTAACAGAGCAGCTGTAGAGAGTTGTCATAGAGTTCTTAATCTCTTGTGTAGACCACAGCAACAAGATCATGTGTCCGACAGGAATTTGGTGTCTGAAACTAGAGAAGCTGTGTTTAGGTTCAAGAGAGTGTCGAATCTGTTAAGCAGCAGTGTGGGTCATGCCAGGTTTAGAAGAGCTAAGAAACCTCAGACCCATTTGTCTCAAACCATCTTCCTTGATCCTTGTCACCAAAGAACAGAGCAGCTTCCACCGTCTCAGAAAACACCGGTACTCCGGTCTGGTTTCCATGATTTGAGCTTGAGACCTACAGATTCACTCACTTTAGGGACTCGGTCTTTCAGTTTAAACACGAATGCAAAAGCACCTCTCCTTCAGCTTAACCAGCAGGCAATGCCCATTTCGACTTTTCCCAATTTGTTTCCTGAACAACAACAGCAGTTACATGAACGGTTGCAGGCTCACCATCTTCATCAGCAGCAACAGCAACAGAAACATCAAGCTGAGATTATGCTTAGGAAGTGCAATGGCGGGATAAGTTTGAGTTTCGATAACTCGAGTTGTACCCCAACCATGTCATCCACTAGGTCTTTTGTCTCATCCCTTAGCATAGATGGTAGCGTCGCTAATATAGAAGGGAAAAACTCCTTCCATTTGGTAGGGGTTCCGAGTTCGACGGATCAGAGCTCACAACACTCTAAGAGAAAATGCCTTATGAAAGGAGACGAACATGGAAGCGTCAAATGCGGGAGCTCTAGCCGATGCCACTGCTCTAAGAAGAGGTCAGTTGCTTATTTTCATTTCATTTTAAAGCCTCTCTTGACACGAGCTGGAATTATAATCTGCTTGTGATATTGATAGGAAACATCGGGTTAGAAGATCGATTAGAGTGCCTGCTATTAGTAACAAGGTTGCAGATATCCCTCCCGACGATTATTCGTGGCGGAAATATGGTCAGAAACCCATCAAGGGTTCTCCTTATCCCAGGTATACACTTTTGATCACTCTCTGTTGATTGATGAACTCATGGTTGAGGAAAGACGAAACAAACAAAGATCAATATCAAATGCAAAGGACCATCTTTTTATAGGTGTTTAAGGCTTTAGAGTCCTGATGAGTTGAGATTCATAGAGACAAAAGAGATGACGCAAGTATGTAGAAAGTATTGAGTGTTTTCTTAAGAAGTGTTATGTTGGAATATTTGTGTGCAGGGGATATTACAAATGCAGTAGCATGAGAGGTTGTCCAGCGAGGAAGCACGTAGAGAGATGTTTGGAAGATCCGGCGATGCTAATTGTTACTTACGAAGCAGAGCATAACCACCCGAAAATGCCAGCTCAAACCGTAACAACTTAACTCTCATTTATCTTGTGGTCAAGCAAAAGAAACTTCTCAATGTATGTTCGTTCTCTTTGGTGCGCGATGATTGGCTTTTGAATTTGCTCCAATATTGTGATATATGATCGGGGCAAGTGCTTTTGTTGGGATGGATTTGCTTGTGAGAGTTTGCTGCAATTGTTGAATTTGGGTTTAAGGGTAAAATGTAGGATTCGTCAAGACCTTTTTTTCTTTCTTTCTTCGTCTCAAGTTAGTTAATGATTCAATGTTTTCTTCTAGCTATGTATTTGGTGATTTGTATTGTGATTTTTTATTATGTTAACTTAAATTAGTTTTATCGAAGTAACTTGGTATCGAGCGTAAATCTAAAGGTATGGTTAGGGATTAAGAAACAATATTGGGTTTTATTCTGAGTTTTCATTCGAGGATTACAGAATCAAATAGAGTCCATTTATTAAAACAGAACGAATGAAACTAATTTCAACAGAAAGTAGAAACATAGAAGATTCAAGCGAAAAAACTACCGAATGATAGTTCTATTTCTCTATTGATAAATAAAAGAATAAAACACATAACTGAAACTGAATTGATGATACTTGTGAATTTGTGATTAAAGGTAGAGAAAATCTAATGTTACTTTTACCAAAAAAAAAAAAAAACTAATGTTACGTTTCAAGATTACGATTGTGCCTAACTTTTTGTAGTTGCACTTTAGAAATTAAAAAGCTAAATTCCAAATTTCTAATGTAATGGGGCCTTGTTGTGGCCCATTAATCTACAAAGTGACATGGATCCACCAAACTAAACTCTATCCTCTGACACAAAAAAT